GGGCCGCCCGCTGCGGCCTCGCACTTCGAAAAATGCACGTGGCCTCTTCGTCGGTGTGAATTAATTCCACCGAGAAAGAAGAACCATCTTTTCTTCCTTACTAGAAGGAAACAGTATTTCTTAAGCATTGGGGGAAAACGCTAAACATTTTCAAGGGTTTTCGCGCAGTTCAGCGCAAAAGACAGTGAGGACAGAGGGGACCAAGGGTTGCTAGTTTAAAGCTGAACAGCTTTACCTGAATCTGTTTGTAGCAGGAGTAGCTTCCGTGTTAAATTCTGCAACTGGCACGCCTCTGGCGGATACCTGAGGGGCAAACATAGCAGCAGGATACACCACGGAGGAGGTCCCGACCTGCAGGGACAGGACAAAAAAATCACGAGTGTAGCAGGCCAGCAGTTAAACAGACGAAACCAAACCGACCCACGAGGTAAGAACTCTTCTAGGAACACTGGATCTGCAAAACCACTGAAGCATGGAAGATTCCCTACAGACATGGAACCAGACCAGTATCTATATTTAGTGTCACTGCATAAGTAAATAACGTAGCGTAAGAATCGGGAATTGTTTCACTGACGCAACCCAAAGAAGCCTGTTTGGGGATTTTACTTGTAGATGAACAAAAAAATCCCAGAAACAAAATAGCAGACTTTGCTTTCAGGGGAGGAAAAAAAAAAACCAAAAAAAAACCACACAAGAAGTTCTTTCTGTTACTTGAGGTTATTTTCTGAAGAGTACATGATATTTTGAGCAAATGTTTTGGTCAGCGATCTGGAACCTACAGGGCCTGTAAACCACCTCAGGAAAAAAAGCAGCAGACAGTAACAGCTAGCTACATTCTTACAACATCTTGTAACTTTTTTTTTTTTTAAACTGAGCATCAAAATAATCCAGTTTTTCACTGAGAAATTTGAGTATTAGCTAACCTCTAACACTTGAACCTCTAACACCTGTGTACACCAAATGCGGACCGCAGGTGCCAGCTGAGCAAGACAAGGACATGCCAAAGCTGTTAGCTCCCAAGTAGTTAAATTTTCAAACTTCATGGTCTTTTCATGTTTTACACTCGACGCTAGCGATTCCCTCAGGGGCTTTGAGCTCCCTTGGGGAAGTGCAGATGCATCTCCTTTACCTGGGAGGTGCGACCTCCTTAGCGAGGCTTCCCTGCCAGTTCAGAGGCTGTTCATTGAATGAATGTATATAAAATTGTACACGTTCCTTTTCTGGGTTAGGTAAGAAAAGCGTCACTCACTACCAAGCAGAGGTCACATATCTCAAGCTCCTTCTCAACCTCTGTGAGAACGTCAGGATCCAGGGTTTCACCAAACCACACAACGTGGGGACGGAGGAGCCCATTGCAGCCGTCCTCCTCACACCTGTTTAAAAAAAAAAAAAAAAAAAAATCACAAAGGGGCAGCGTTACCCTGCTGACGTGGATGTTTCGAGCTGCAAAACGGCACAGCAGGTTTCGTTCTCATTCGGACATGTCTCACCTGCCCTCGCCTTTCCTCCCTCCTCCTTCGCAGCCCTCCCCACACCCTCCTCTGCCACGCGCTGGGCAGAAGGCAGCTGGTGGAAGTACACGCGTGCTGCCCCATCACGCAGAACGGGTTGCTGAACGGTTGCTCAGCTTAATCGCCTCTTCCCCTTGTTCAGCCTCTGAAATGCTTGAAACTTGAAACACATTCTCTGCCACAGACCTCAGCCCCGCCAGCTTTAACAAACCGGCCAACAGGTTTTTAAGGAAAAACTGAAGTGAAAGGCAGAAGCATCACATTAGCCTCTTTTCCTTAGGAACCAGATGAAAAATACAGTGGCTTCTTGCATCCGCAAGGAGTGAAGGCAAAGCTTGGGCCATTATAAAAAAAGGGGCCGCGGCGCAGTGAACGCCTGCAAGCGGCTGTGCTCCAGCAGGGGGTTCCAGACTGATTGCAACATCAGGTAGCACCTGCAAAGTTACAAAATGTTTGCTGTGTAGCACTTACTCTCTTCCTGCAATTCTACCGTTACTCCACTTACTATAAACCCCGTGAATTTAGGCATGTTTCCCCTTGATGCCCAGCTACACAAAGCATGCGATTCCTTTAGCATCACAGTAAACTTCCAGTACACGCTCCTGGTCCTGGTGTCTGCTGTCCATCCTAACGTCAGGTTTAGATTTAGACTCAGTGCTCCTGGGAAAAGCCCCGCGCCTTTTTCTCCTGTGGAACATCTCCGTGTCCTTCCAAAACCACGTGGACAGGAATATAAAGCCTTTGAGATGCACGAAGTACAAAGAGGTAACAGCAAAAAACAAAGAGTCCATACGTACTGAGGAAGGTCTTCAACTGGAATCGTGGCGTCTTCTGTTTCAGGATCTGGAGCCCTGAAGTCACAAAATTGAAATACACACTCAGTCGTACAAAGCGCACTTTATATATTAGGAAAAATGTAGTATTCTCTAAAGCACGCTCTCCAGTCAAGGAACCTTTGCAACTTCAGCCAACTTCGACATCTACTACAACCCTAAAATACCACACAGAGGGCAGGCAGGCGTTTATCCAGAATTATCCCAGCGGTAAGCAGCTGTAATAAGCTGGTCAAAGTCGGTCAAAGGCACAACAAATATTTATGTAGCTATCTAAAGATCTGGTGAAATGCAAAGGGAAAAAAAAACCTAAAAATCTTAGCGCATGCCTGTCCCACCCCTCTGCCCGCCTTTTTTTTAATGGTGAAAGAAAGAGGGTGGCTAAAAAAAAGGAGACCAAAGACTCCTTCTGCAACTCTAAATAAAGTTGCAGAAATCCTGGGAACTGATACTTCCCTCCCGATTGTTTCACACATTTGTATTTCGCGACCTGTAGTCACAAGAATCTTATCAATGAGTCGAAGGACAAAAGCTACTGGGGCCTCAAGAGATGCAGAAGGGGACAATCCATGTATCAAGCCATGACAGCCCGATTTAAGGAATAAGCATCCGATTTAATAAAGAACCTGGAAGGTGAGGAGGATGGGAGTAAACACACGTTCTCAAAGACAATTAGTTGACGTCCAGTGTGAGAGTTTCAGACCATCTGAAATTGTTCTAATTAAAACACAATGTTGCGCTGACTTAGAGGTTAACAGTTACTCATTCACAGACCTACAGGATCATGGGCTCTCACTGAAGTTACCGAACAGTATACTCGTGTTTTGGAACAGCTGTGTAAAATCTAAGCGTTAATACTATTAAAGGAAAATGGGGTGGTCGGCTGAAACCCCCGTACGCTCCTAAAATGGCTCCTCTCCTATTGAACAGCAGACCAAGTAGACAATACAGGGAGTTTACAAGGCAGACGCCTTACCCTTTGCCGGCCAATGCGGGGCATATGGGACTCTTGTAATTGGCAGCCACGTTTCCACAGTTGGTGCACCGAGTTTTAAATAAACTACCTGAAACGCACAAAGAGAAAACATCAGGCGGGGATGAAGGGATTGCTCTGAGGCATGGCTGCACAAATGGTTGCGTTTATCCCGGACAGCCTTTATTTGACTTTGAAGACTGTACCTTGTGGGTAACTCACTGCGTGAACGTTAACAGGCGAGCGTTGAAACCTGGCAGCGTTATGAACGAGACGCTACTTTACGCAGCGCGTACGCACGCTTTTGTTCAGCAACCCGAGGTGACCAGCGTCACAGCTAGGCACCGACCGGGCCCGGCAAAGACAGACGCAGCCCTTTCAGCTGAAAGGCCGCAGTGAAGAGCAGCAACAGCCCCTCTAAGCTATGATTTGTCACCTCGTTCTACCTCGCCGTGTAAGACACAGCCTCGTACCAGTACTTCAGAGGAAAATTGGTATTGGAAATATCACTGAGGGAGATGATTTCTGCTTATTGCTTTTCCCCTTAAACCAGAAACATTTTCTTAAAAAAAATACGCTGGTTAACACTTGGCTTGTTTTACACAAAACTCCCCAACCCCAAGACTTCTATAGCGTTAGTAACATGCTGTAGCGATGCACAATATTGCCAAGAGTTTAAAATTGTTTGAGTTTTGTAAAGACTAAGACTAAAATTAAACTAAACCCAAGGCTTTATCCTTGGATCCACAACTGCAAAACAATTTGTGTGGGTTTCCCGCGTCCAGATCACAAAGTAGCGGTGGGGAATCCCATTTGAACCTTTCATGATACTTAGAGTTAAGAAGCATCATAGATGGGACTTTGTCCTGGGAGACTTCCACTCTGCGGCAGGGCCTGCAGCGTGAAGCCGCAATGGAGAGGGGCCTACTCACCCTCCGTTTTCCCCACCCCTGTGATGTATTTCATCTGATCCAAAAGCCTTGCTGACCCTCACACGCTGCACCTGCGTTGTGCTCCTCTGGACTTTACTGGACGGAGGGCGGGAGCGAGGAATGCCACTAACTACAGGGAAGAGAGAGGGAGTGCCACCAGGGGTAGGAGAGAAAGGTAAGGGAACCCCAGCTGTTGCCAGCCCCTTCTGCCTCCTGTAGCCAGGGGCCGCACAGGTGGGTCTTTGAAGGACAGGACAGGACGGAGGGAAAGCGGCAGGCAGTGGAGCAGAGAGCACCAGGGCTGGCGAGACCAGTCTCCCCAACAGACTTTTCATTGGCGGCAATACTGGTGTGGCACCAGCAGTACCACGGAGCTGAAGTCCTCAGTGGATTTTTTTCCCCCTTTTCTAAGCAAAATCAGCCCAGTGTCACTATTCTCATGTATTCAAGCAGATGTGAGGCAAACCTGCGCAACTGGGAAGGGAGAACCAGTTGCTGTGTACTGTCAGCATCCACTAAAAACAGAAAGATGAGAAACAAGGGGAGGCTATGAAGTACCCAAAGCAACTTCCAGGGTGACACTGTGAGTAACTTCATGCAAGCTGTTACCATTTTAAAGACAAATTTCTTTCCTCCACGGATTTATCCTGCGCTCTCTTCTTCCCCCCACAGGTTTGCTGGCCTGTAGTAGACAGGTAAGCTGATCCTTACCGTGAATTTCTAAGAGGTGCTTTGTGCCTGCCTTTCTGTGTAGCTCATCGATATTCTGAGTAATGACCACAACGCTCCTTCCTTGCTTGCTCAGCCGCCTTTCGCACTCTGCAATGGCGATATGCGCAGGATTGGGATGTTTACTCAACATCACTTCCCGGCGGTAATGGTAAAATTCCCATACACGAGAAGGGTTTCGCGCAAAAGCCGCTGGCGTAGCCAACTCCTGGAAAAGACACAACAATTCATTCCATCAACGGAAGGGCAAGAAAATCCCCTCCCCAGGTGAAGCCTGCTAGCATATTGCCGCTTAGGCTGCTACCAGCACAACCAGGTAATGAAAAGCAGATTATTTATAACCAGATGTGGTTGATGAGAATGTAGTTCAATAGCCCTTACAAGGATGACAAGTCAAAGTATCTCATTAGGTGAGGAAATAACTGATATCAGTAGCACAGTACATGGTTTTACATGGCACACTCGGGCCTTATTCTGCGCTGCCCTACCAAACCATGAGCACAACATGAAGGAAGATGAGTTGTTTCAATGCACATGATTTTTGGTGTTCAGAACTCCCTTTTCCGCAGCAGCCACAAAACTCAGCATTGTATGGATATATTTCCTTTGCTAGCAATTTCTTTTCTACCTTAATTTAAATGTTACACAAGTCGAATCACAGCCACTGCCAAAACCGAAGTCTAACATCTTGTCTTTTATGCACCAGTAAAATCTAAGCTACGCTCTTCACGCTAACTTTAATTTTGCCTTGTTTTTTAAAATGAGGGGCAGCTCAGCCTAGTGCTTCAGTGCACAGTCCTACCTAGACAGAAACGCTTCATGCGAGCTTTCTGATGCAGAAGGACCAGGCATTTACAGGCACGCATGCTTTATTTGAATTGATAGTCACTGAAAGAAAAAACACATCTTTAGATTCAAACCATCTTGAAAAAACCATCTCTCCAAGCCCTTTTAACTTCATCAAATCTTTCATCAATGCTGCCATGAAAAACCATAAAGAAAGCAAACGTGACTGCAGCGTTTGGGGTAGCTGTTACTGGCAGTGTGACGGTCACCTGAAACATTTGCAGCACCATGCAGGCTCAGACTTGGGAGGCACCCGTACAACTTGCACGTTTTGCTGCTCGCCGCTGCACCACTCTGCCCCGTGGTGTCTGCTTCCGCCCCCTCTCCCACCCCAGTGGCTCCCAGCGCTGGCAAGATCACACCAGGAAGAGAGAGCGTGTGGGAGAGTTAAACACTGTGAGGAACCCTGCCCCCAAACACAGAAACAAAAAATCCTAAAACATTTTTAAAGAGCATTATGAGAAACCAAGATTAAAAGAAAACCACTAGTCGGTATCACTGGTTCCACCTTTTGTTATTTTGGTAGAAGGATCTTAAGAGTTTAAAACAGGGGAGGCCCCACGAGGTAGGAAAACAGTGAGGGTATCAAAAGATGAGCAAAGAGCTAAGCTGCAGGCAGCAAGAAAACAAGGTCAGCAGGATTTTTTTTTAAAAACATCATTTTTCCCAAACAACCAGCCAAAGGACAGAAAAGAAGCTGCAGCTGCACAAAGCAGCCCCCCAGGGCAGGGGGAAGAGCCACGGAGGTGCGGCTGGCAGAGCTCTGTCCCCACCAGGAGTGCCCCCACCCTCTGAGGTACCCAGCTGCTTCGGACTCCTCCCACTCGCCTACCCGATGGACTGAGGGGCGCAGCTGCGCAGACACGTGCCACCGGTACATACCTGGGCTTGCCACTTTCTCCAGAAACCTCCAGCCCCTCTGAAGGTAGGAACCCCGCTCTCCGCACTAACGCCGGCCCCTGTGATGATGGCTATATGCTTCGCTTTGGCAAACACTTCTCGAAAATCAGCCATATCTATGCGCGGGAAGGAAAACAAACTTCAGGCACTTACACTTTCGTATAAGAGGCCATACGGTGATGGCAAACTCAGGCATCCAGAAATGGCTTCCACATACAGCTCCCATGACCTCAATTTCAGAATACTAATTCGTTTCCGAGTTGCTGTTGGAATATTGGAATTTGAAGGGCAATTCCTGGAGGTCCTTGAAAATGTGTATCAGCAAGCCCAGTGGGGCAACATGTGTTTTAAACTATGAATATACTCAATATTTGGAAGACAGAGCCTTTAACTAAAACCCCACACTAGATCTAGCTACTGTGAAAACAACTGCTGCCGCCACCACCACCCAGGAACAGTTTGCTTCCTAATTTTAAGGTAAGATCCCGAGATGAAAAAAATTTACTTTTAGGGACAAAGTATCAACTTCAAAATTAAGGTAATTTGGGAAAATGCATTTCCTTTTGAGGCATCTTGCATATTTTCTAGGTTTGCAATTGTATTTTCTATTTGTGAATGGATATTCCCTCAATTTTCCCCTGCATGGTGAAGTAACTTGGGAAAAAGACGGGAAATTCCCTTTGAATTTTTCTAAAAACAAGATTAAGAAGGAACAGGTTAGTTAGAGAGAACAGGAAAAAAAATCTCTTCCAGTTTACCTCGGATGTTAATTTTAAAGCAACATATCTTCGAATCACAGAATGGCTGAGGTGGGATGGGACCTCTGGAGATCGCCTAGTCCAAACCCCCCTGCTCAAGCAGGGTCAGCCAGAGCAGATTGTCCAGGACATCAGGTGGATTTCCAGATCTCCAAGGATTGAGACTCCGCCACCTCTCTCTGCACGACCCATTCTAGTGTTTGACCACCCTCACAGGAAAAACGTGTTTTCTTGCGTTCAGACAGACTCTCCTGTGTTTTAATTTCTGTCTGTTGCCTCGCGTCCTGTCGTTGGGTGCTACTGAGAAAAGCCTGCCTCGTCCGCGTTCCCTCCCATCGGGTATTTTTATGCTTTGCTAAGATGTCCCTGCGCCCACTCTCCTCCAGGCTGAACAGTCCCAGCTCTCCCAGCCCCTCCTCATACGTCAGATGCTCCAAACCTTTAATTATCTCTGTGGCCCTTCGCTGAACTCTCTCCAGTAAGTCCACATCTCTCTTGTACTGGGGAGCCCAGCACTGGAGCCAGTGCTCCATGCCTCTCACCAGGGCTGAGCAGAGGGCAAGGATCACCTCCTCCGTCTGATGGAGACGCTCTGCCGAGTGCAGCCTAGGAGGCTGTCAGCCACCTTTGCCACAAGGGCTCATCACTAGCTCACAGTCAACGTGGTGTCCACCAGGACCCTCAGGGCTGGCTCCAGCCTGGCCTAGTGCATGGGGCTGTTCCTCCCCAGGGGCAGGACTTGGCACTTCCCTTTGCTGAACTTCATGAAGTTCCTCTCCGCCCATGTCCCCGGCCTGCCGAGGTCCCTCTGGATGGCAGCACAACCCTCTGGTGTATCAGCCACTTCTCCCAGCTTTGTGTCATCTGCAAACGTGCTGAGGGTGCACTCTGCCCCATCGCCCAGATCATCAATGAAGGCATTAAACAAGATTGGCTCCAGTACTCCTATGGTACACCACTAGTGACTGGCCTCCAGCTAGATTTTGAGCTGCTGATCGCAACCTTAATCTTTATAATTCACTATGTTGGTTTGGGTTTGTTTGTTTGTTTTTTTTAAACCAAAGGCAGGGGTAAGTTTTTATAAGGAGAGAGAGTCACTGGAGAAGTCCCAGGACCCACAGCACGAGCGCCGTAGAACCTAGCAGAGAACACTACGATCCTGATGCCCCATCTGTTGTTGTAAACCAAACCTCACAAAGCCCTTGAATGCGTAAAGATGAGGCGAAAAGCCCTCCTGGTCCTGCCTCCAGCCTCTGACAGCAGCCAAATGCTGACGCTCAAGACGACAGAAAAAGCAAGTTGGCTACCCAACTACTGAGGATTTTACTATTACACCTGTGAAGTTCTGTGCACAGTTTTCAAATGAAAACACATCCTCAAATTGAAAAACTAAACAAAAAAAAAAAAAAACCCAAACAAAAAGAGGATATTTACTAGTACCAGACTGAACAAAGCTCCTGGGTTACCCAATACCCTGCTCCCGAGTTGTTACAAATGCTCGAGGCCCTCCATAATTCTTGTAGAAAGAAACGAGGACTGAGTTTTATTACCCATTAGGATTATGAAAAGGAAATGCAATTAATTAGCACACATTTATGAGCATAAATTATAAATGCTTAAGTCACCAGACAACCACGCTAACTGCAGCTATAAGAGGGGGTTTTTTTGGAACTATCCACAGAAGACAATTTTGCAGCTGGAAAAAAAAAATCAGCTTAAAGCTCTTCTTAACGTTTTGAATAATCGATTCCACCTACTACATAAAACCTCCTAGAACTTCAAGTCGAGCTTAAATGCCTGCCCAGGGCATGGAAGGAAACAGAGAAATGCCTTACTTGAACTGGGACGAGCCATCTCTAAGGAAAACTTCTGTTTCTTTGAAGTAGCAGCAGCCTGAAGCCCACGGTACGCTTGGGGAACCAACCTTCCAGCGGTAAATTGGAAGAGACTCATCAGCACCGCTCAGAAGCGCGTTAACCTGAGGAGAAATAAATGAAGTGAGAGCCGCCCGTTCTCCACGAAGAACCAGGCACAAACGTTATTCCCGGTTTTTCCTCCTGCGCACGGCTGAGCCCAAACGGTTTGTAGCGTTTCGGAGGCGTTCGCCGCCGCGGTGTTTCTGCTTCACCTGAGGAGAAAACCTTCCAGGCCATCTAACCGGGCTGCCGCCTCTTCCTTGTTTTGACGACAAAAGGCTGTCGCAGCGCCTGCAATTCACCCCCTTCCCCT